TGGGAATAATCTTTAATCTCACAGACTTTTTGGGGGAATATTCTTTTAAATCTCAACTTTTACCCAATGTTGTAAAATATGTTTCAATCTGCAGGGCCTCTTCCCCTCTGTTATAAATCACGTAGAGCTGGACATTGTCTGAGCCTAGAAGAATACTTTAAGCAGCAAAGCTAGACATTTCTTACTCAATTTCCTGGAAACTCAGACTTCACTAAGGTTTGGCTTTCATTCCTTCCATCTTGGTCAAGTTCCAAAACTTTCAGATTTATATCTCTCATTGAAGACAAAGTAGCAGCATATCAGATTTTTCTTCTCTAGAGAAGAACAGTTTCTAATTAGGGGCTTTGCAACTATAAACCACTTGGAAAAATATTTAGACCAACTCCTACATTTGGCATGTTGCCTTCAGTTGAGATCAGGCTTCCTCACTTTAGATTAATAAACACTATCTCTGCTCATGACGAAAGGTTCTGTTCCAAGCCAGGGACTTTCAGCTCCCCTCTCTATAAAATGTGACCCCACTAACACTCTTCCCAGGAGTGTTTTGCTATCTTGATCAAATTTTCTCATATGTGTCAGGATCATCGCAGGGACATATATCTCAATTCTGGCTCTCTCTACTTATCTAAAGAAGAGGAAAAGATGATTATATTTATCCTCATCTGTGGTTGCTTTTGTCTCGAAAAAGCCAATAGTATTTGTAGATGTAGGAAAGGGCTTCTGAATGTAGAGAAGAGGAAATGTAATCCTAGATGACAATTATTGATCATTTGCCTTCTGCAAATCCCTGTATTAAGTATGGCATTGCATTCTATATTTAATTTGAATCCACACAACAGCCTTATGAGTTGATATTGCCCTTCTCATTTTCTAAATGGGAATACTAGACTTTGAGAGTTTAGGGAACTAACCCAAAGGTTTCCATCAGAGGAAATGTAGACTTAGAAAAATCAAAATGGTTTGGTTTCAGAAGTTTTGACATTAATTATTAAAACACATTCTCTTCCAATAATTAAATTGTAAGCACACTTGCTTTGCAATATCTGAGATAATAGGAAGTCAACATTAATCAACCTGAAACAAACAAACAAATGATAAAAGGAAAAGGGAACTAATTTTGATGAGTCATAATAATAATTTTGATTGAATGCAATAATATTGCCTTCACTGACCCCGAATACATTTAAAAGATCAAAGTAGCTGTCGAAGGAGAGTAAGTATGCTTTCACTTGGGAATATTTTACTGAATTCCATAGAGAATCATTGGATATATTACATATTAAGAAATTATAACATTATCAATTATATAAGATATTAGTAAATAAAATATTTGACACAAATATGACTTACAGTCATCCCATTTTCTGCCACATCTATGGAGAGACAGCATGAAAACGATCTCTTCCACCTATAAAAACATGCAAAACAGGTTCAAGATATCAAAGATAATCTATTTTTTTAAAGTTATCTTCAAAAGACTCACTTATCTGAAAACTAACATTACTTTTTTTTTTTATAGAGGCATGTTTTTATTTATTTATTTATTTTATTTGTTTGTTTGTTTTTTTTATACATGCACTGGGTACAGTCAGAAGCGCGGGAGGGTGAGAGAATTCACCAGAGCCAGAGTGGGGAGCAGAGCAGGCAGAAGGACTGAAGTACACTGCTGAGGGGAGCAGCGGGTGGCAGGAGAGGTCTGCGCAACATGTGGGATCCTCCTCCGGTGGCCGGGGAGCAGCCAGGGATCGAACCGGCGCCGCAGAGGCCGCGGGCAGCTTCGCAACTCAGCGCTCAACCGCTGCGCCACCGAGGAGGCCCACATTACTTTTCTTAGAAGCATAAAGGGTCAAAGGAGTAGCTTCTGAACCATGATTTGGTGGCGTTGGTGAAGGCATTTCCACATTACTCTTTTAGAAGAGAATGTTCGAGAAATGGCAGAAGTGTTCCTAGTGTTTATCTTGACTATTTTCATTGTGGATTTGTGTTTTCCTAGTCCTTTCTGTGAAAACTTTAAAATCCATTAGAAAGCATCTCATATTGAAAACACTTAGCAACTATCAAGTGTGAAAGTTTCTCCATCTATCAAATCAGTATTCAAAACAAAGGCCCCCTTTAGCTGATGATGGGAAAAGAACAGATAAAGGCCAAGGCACTTCAGACCAAGTCACAACCAGGGTTTCATTAATTAGTCACTCAAAATCAATACTGACTGCCCGACGTCCACTGCCAACTCCAACCCTCCATATAGACTCCAGAATAACTTGCCCATTGAGTGGAACTGGATTTATTCCTCACTGAGTAAAGAAAACCCTACACTGAGTGGAAAGTCAAGTCTTAGAAGGAAGGAGATGAGGGATAGATCTATGTTGGTCTTTAGAGTTTGAATTCTAGAGTTTCAAGGCAGATTGAAATTTTTTTTTTAAGATTTTGTTTATTTTTACTTATTTTATTTATTTTTACTTTTAATTTTATTTTTACTGGGGTGTAGGCCAGAGGTGTGGGGGTGGTGAGAGGATTCATCAGAGACTGATTGGAGAACAGAACAGGCAGATCTACTGAAGTACACTGCTGAGGGGAGCAGCTGGTGAGACAGGAGAGGTCTGCTGTGCCATGTGGCTCAGCATCCTGGCTGGGATAAAGCTCAGGCCTTAGTGGTGATAGCACTGAGACTTAGACCCTAGGCCCTCTGGGAGGCCCCAAGGCAGGATTTTCAACTTAAATTTCTGATTGGGATGAGCCAATATTCTTGATAAAAGAATTTATAACTGAAGGAAACTTCAGGTGAAGACTGCAGTGTTATTTAAGAAAGAAGCATTTGCCCACTTGAGCCATTTTGCCTTTGGAAGAGGAATATGTATGCAGATGAGCAACATGTTGCCTGGAAAAGGAGGCTAGATTATCGGTATATTATTTGAATAAATCAATTTTCAGAAAGTTCTCAAAGCAACCAATGAAGTTATCATTTTAAATTGCCGTTTACAGTTTTATCTAAATGGGGCAACTTTTTGGGAAACTATGATAAAGTAATGTTGCTAAGTGGCATGTCTTAATCAATTGGGTCTGCTCTAACAGAAATTCTAAAGAGCAGGTGGCTTCAACAACAGAATTTTCTTTGCTATTTTCACATTTTAAAAGGACAGTTTTATTAGGAAAAGGAGAGATAAAAAGAGGCACCTGCATAGTCACACATAGTCTTAAGAGATGCCACTGCTGCTTTACAAAGGGGAAAGGGCTTGTGAAAAGAAACACTTGCATAGTCACGAGAGGGCAAGACAGAAATGCTCAATAACAGAAATTTCTTTCTCACAGTTTTTGAGGCTGAGAAGACCAAGATCCAGATGCTAATGGAGCTGAATTCTGGAGAGAACGCTCCTCCTAGTTTGCAGACAGAATTCTTCTTACTTTAATATCACATGGTAAAGACATAGATGATCTCTCCACGGAATTGCTAAACTGTTTAAAAGGGATAATTGAAGACATTGCCAGAAATACCAAACTTGAAATCAATTTCACTCCTCTGGCAGGACGCTGTGAAACTTTTTTGCCTCTGGGGTGTTCTGTTGCAGTGAAAGGCCCTAAAGTCTGCCGCACCCACTTTCTGTTCTTGACTTTACTATGGTGGGGTGGCAGTAAGTGAAAGCAGCAGTGTGTGTGTGTGTGTGTGTGTGTGTGTGTTAGTGTCAACTCTTTATCACAAACACTTTATAATAGAGTAATAGACAATTAACAATTCACTTTCATGGCCAACCCAAAACAATATTCAAGTCACTTCACTAAAATGGTGGGATTTTTAACTATATGCATATGAGATTTTGAAGTAGCTGAATTCTATAAAAGGACAGAAGACAGAGATTTAGAAACTTCATTATACTTAATTATACTTAGGTAACTTGCAAATTTTAATTGCCTATTTCAGGAGTCACTCACTAGTCAGTTACATTAGACAACATTTTGAAAAGCCTGTTGGAAATCGATGGAGGCTGCCACACACAGATAGGAAAATAATGGGAAAGATAAGAAGGGGAATTCAGAATTGTGGGGGAATGGACATGAATTGCTGATATCAAGTAGACAGGATGAAGCTATCTGGACTCATGGAAATGTTTAAAGATGGAAATATTTAGAGTACGAAAGAGAAATATAGCAATAATGTCTATGTATTTCTTAATGTTATGTATTCACATAATCCTTGCCTCTTAAAATTCTAAAATTGGAAGTTAAAATAAATGAAAAGACACACTCAACCAAACCTAAGTTGCTGGTAAAAAGGAGAAAACCCCATCAGAACATTTGCATCAATTGAAATACAAGATTAATTCTTTCCCAAACTATTTTTCTACTATCCTTCATGTACAGATACTGTGGATCCGCAAGAACAAATAAGGACAGAAAACCAGCACAAAGCACTGGATTAACCTGACTGGTTGACTGAATTTTGATAGGTGAAGTTAATTAAAATAATTGATAGTAATCTCAATTCACTTACCTAGAGCTAATTTTTTTTTTTTACAACTTATAGAAATTTAATTGGTTCACGTGCTTTTGCTTGAAGGCAAAATTTATATAGATGACCATTACCCAGAATTCCATCTAATGAATATCTTAGATTATTTTAATCTAAGATATTAATAAGCCAAAAGGTAAATTTAAGCATCAAGCATATCCATGAGATATGTTTTCAATTATATTCTGCAGACATGTCTAGATTATGTCCTTGTTTTAACAAAATATAAAAATTACTGAAAATTATAAAACTACAAAAGGAAATAAAAACTACAGAACATAAGACATACCTGAAATATTAATTACCATTCCCTAATTGTTTAGAGACATAGAAAATTTAAAAAATAATACACCTTTGTAGTAACTAAAATCACTATTATAGTTGAAACTAATGGTCGTAGTAGATGAATGTAATAATTTAAGTATAATAAAAAAGGTTTATTTCAGTGAATGCAATTACTGATGAGAATGAAGGGGACTTACTATTTTTTGCTCAGCCATAAAGAAAACGATCTCTTGATCTTTGCAACAACGTGGTTGGAACTGGGTAGGATAATGCTAAGTAAAGGAAATCAGAGGAAAGAATAGAAATACTGGATGGTCTCACTTATCTGTGGAATATAGAGAAACAAAACAAAAGGTCAGACAAAACCAAACCAATAACAGACCTTGACATCCGACTACAATATTGAGGCAACCAGAGGGGAGGGTGACAGGGTCAGAGTTGGGGTGGGGTAGGACGATTGGAATATGGTGGAGGATTATTGGTACATTGGTTGTGGGTACATGTGAAATTATGCATTTAAATGTGCTTGAAAATAAACAGTAACATTTGTCATAATTCAATGTTTTTCTTTCACAGTAACCACCGACATTTTGGATGCTGTCCCTCTAACACTCTGTATCTTAAAATGATGATCACATGGAGAAAAGAAGGAGCAAGCACAATGGACAAGGAAGATGAAGGGAAATACACCATCTTCATTTTAGGTCGCTGATGACTTTCTGTTACTGCACTATAACATAGTCTTATCCTGACATAGAAACTGTATGCTCATAAAACTGATTTTCTCTTTGAATTGCAATAACAGAGATGGCAAAAATAGAAGAGAAAGGTCCATCTAAAAACAGAAGTACATAAATCTTTCCCCTAAGATGATAGTTCTTTAATTTAATAAATACATTTTTCGCCTATGCAAAGGTATACCTCCCCCACACACACATACACATGCACGTGTGCATGCATCAGAATAGCAATGAAAACAGAAAGACTGAAAGAATAATTCTCTTGGTAATGGTTCTTTTATTAAAGAAGCAAAGTGAAAGTGAATGAGTAATGCTTGTGATCAAAGAAAGAGATTAGATTCCGTGTCAGGAATGTTAGAATTGTCATGCAGTATAGTCCAATGTTTTATGTATTTAAAAAAAAAAAAAAGACTAAAAAGGAAGAAAGAAGGAAGAAAGATGTCCTGAACAAATGTTTCTGCTTATTTTTTATTTTATGTACTAGTTCTCTCAAATATCAAGGTTACTGCTTTCTTTCTCCAATATTTATGGAACATTCATAGAGTTCTAGCTGCAAAGCTGTAAAAATTTGAAAACATAACATAAAACTTCCCAGGTCTTTGTATTGCTAAGACACCAGCACAAGGAACTAAACTTGTTAGACTCCAAGTTTTGTAGTGTTGAGAGTTAGAGTGTATTTGTATTGGTCTAATGAAAGATAAATAAAATGGATGCATCATATAATGCTCTTAACACTGGAGATAAAATAAGGTACTGACAATCCCAGAGAAGACAAACAAAAGTTAGGCCTTAAAGTTTATAGGTATTAGTTCTGTCAGTGCCCTGTGGAGCTCATGAAAATATAGTTTAAGTGATGACATGCAGAAAATAGTTTTTTTCCTCATAAAACATTTTAAGAGTTTCATTAAAAGTTTCATTAGATCTCAGAACAAGTTTTGCTCCAGGGACTAAGATGTTTGTGGTTATTGACCACTGTTGTATTTACTTAGCATTTCAATGATTCTAAATTTATCCTACTTTTCCAATCAAACTTGGGAAATTTTAATCAAATTTCTTTGACAAAGCTTATCGAAGAACGACTATAAATAGGAATAGGAAATACAATAATTTCTATTTTTTTAAATTACTCAGGAAGAGATAATGACTTGATGAGTTAATGTAAAATAAAAGTTGTCAACTTGAAATTTTAAAGTCCCAAAGATCCATTGTTTTCTTTCTTTTGTTCCCATGTGTCATGTTTTTTAGAACTAACATTAACATTGTTATTGGGAAGAATACAAGAAGGATAGAAATGTGTCTGTATGAGATCAAGGATTTCTGGGTTCTATGGCTAGAGTTGGAGTTTTATTCAAAGAAATAATATTAGAATTGATACATGGCAATTAAATAAATAGTTATTCTATTTTTTTTTATTTTTCCTTTGCCCAGTGAGAAAATTTGTTTGATTAGTTCATGCTATGGAATGCAGTTTGATTCCTGAGAGTAACTTATGTATTGTCTCGGTGGTTCTGTATTTTTTTCTTACAGTAACAAAACTTGTCCCTTTGTTCACATTTTGGTATAAATTGAATAATTTTATAGGCAGAATAATGCCCCCCTAAAAGTGTCCATAGTGTAACCTCTAGAACTTGTGAATAAGTTACTTTAACATAGCAAAAGGCAATGTACAGTTGTGATTAAATTAAAGATCCTGAGATGCAGCAGAGATTTTCATGGATTATCTCGGTGGAGAAAATATAATCACTAGATCCCTGTCAAAGAGAGGCAGGAAGGTCCAGGACACACGCAGATGCCAGCTGTAAGCAGAGGTCTCTGTGTTGCAACTATGAGTCAATGTGGGAGCCCCCAGAAGCTGCAAATGTGAAGGGATAGACCCCTCCTGAGCCTCAGAAGGAACATAGTCTTAGATTCTGGAGCCACAAGAAACGTCAGAATTCAGACCTTTATAACTTTAGATAATAAATGTATCAGTATGTTGTTTTAAGCCACTCGGTTCATAATTTGCTACAACAGCGATGGGAATTGATGAACATATAGCAACGTGCACATATCTGAAGCTCACAGCTTAAATGTATATACACACACACGTGCACACACACACAGTTGCAGTTAAATCTCACCCAGACGTCAACATAGAATATATCTAGTATCCCAAATAAAAGCACTCGGATATAATTAAAGAAGAAATAGAAGTATAAAAATATCAGACAAACAAAAGAAACACATCACTGGCTCATGTAATATGTGCCTCAGTACTTAATGACATTTAGTTTCGTACTAAAATGGTAGAAAAATATTTATGGAATCATTGGATTTCAATGGTCTCTTACAGGATATCTAGGAATTCCACTTTTTCTCATGGAAAATATTTCCAAATGAGTACTTTATGAATGAGACAGTTTGGATTATGTGAAGTTCTTAGTCATGTCACTTCATTCTATACAAAATACTGCAAAAACGGGAGAGAAAACAGGACAAGAAAGGCAACTACAAATCCTTCACTAAGATGGATGAACATTGCTAAACTATCAGTCATCTTCATAATGTAAGTGAACCAAAATGTGTTAATAAAGAAGTGATGATGCAAACCTAGTTTCTCTCAATGAACATAATTTGAAAATAAAAAATATAAGATAAATGAACAAAAAAACAATAACTTCAAGAAACTTGAATGTCTTATGGTAATACAAATGCACACAAAACTACATATAAATAAATACTCATAGGGGAAAATTCTAAACATGGTGTACTCATATCATATAGTACATGAATTATTTGACATTTGCTTTTCAAAAAAATGTTTTTTTTTTCCAATTGAGATTAGGTAACCCTGGTTTACATAGATGCATGTGTCACCTATCATAAAATACAAGGATGAACATGGTAATAAAATAAAACAAAATCAATAATTTGGCATTTGACATTTAAAATATGTAAACCAAAAGGTTGAAAATGATGGTAAAAATATATAAAAAATGGTGCATGCATGCATACAGACACTTAGAGCATAGACAAATAAAAACATCACTGGGAGGGCCTTCCTGGAGGCTCAGGCAGTTGAACACTGCTCTGTGAAGCTGTCCACACCCTCTGCAGTGCGGGCTGGCCAGGGAGATTCACACATGGCACGACAGACCTCTCCTGTCTCGCCTGCTGCTCCCCTCAGCAGTGTGTTTCGTCAGTCTGCCTGTTCTGTTCCCCACGCTGTCTCTGGTGAATCCTCTCACCCTCCTGCTCATCTGGCCTGTACCCCCGCTCTTGTATAAATAAATAAATAAACAAATAAATACATAAATAAATAAATAAATTAATTAATTAATTAATTAATTAATTTAAAAAAAAGACCTCACTAGCAGGTCAATATTTGAAAAAGTAAATTTTTGGACCAAAAAAAAGCTATACCAGAGATAAAAGGGGATCAACTTCTAAGCATCTATGATTTTCCTGAATGAACAAAAATGTTAGCTGGTAGGAAGAGAATTTAGATCTTTGTCTATAGACTTTAATTACAAAATAATCCCAGTATCACAGTTGTGAAAACTTACTGTCTTGAAATTGTAGGGAAATTAGCTTATTTTATAAATAATGACTCATGTTGGCATCCTGCTTCATGACTAGAACTCCTATTTTCTGTGTGCAGATACTTCTTTATTTTTTAGAAAGATTTACTTATTTTTATACAAGAACTGGAGTACAAGCCAGAGGCGCGGGAGGGTGAGAGGATTCACCAGAGACAAAATGAGGAACAGAACAGGCAGACTGACTCAAATACACTGCTGAGGGGAGCAGCAGATGAGACAGGAGAGGTCTGTGGGTATCTCTGTGGGTATCTATCCGGCCAGCCAGGAATCGAACCCACGCTGCAGAGGCTGCAGAGAGCCTCACAGGGCTGCGTTCAACCTGCTGTGCCACCGGGGAGGCCCCAGACACTTCTTTAAAGGTATTTAGACACCGTAATCAAAGCCAAGCTTGAGGTTTTATTTCCACACCCACTGATTGAGTGATCATATCACTTTACTTAATATTCTAAACCTCACTGTGCTTACTTTAAAGTGGAAGTAATGTAAATGAGATTTATTATTAAATGAGGTATCATTTTTCTCACAGAGAGAAAAAATGTACTTTAGCTAATATTTTTTGTTTTCCCTTTTGGTTTGAAAAGTCACTTTTTTTAAGATTTACTTTTATTTATGCATTTAAGATCTGGGTGTAGTCGAGAGGTACGGGACAGGTGAGATGATTCACCAGAGACAGATTGGGGAGCAGAACAGTTGGATCTACTGAAATACACTGCTGAGGAGAGCAGCGGGCAAGACAGGAGAGGTCTGCTACACACATGGGTTAGTTCCTTGGCTAGGGATCAAACTCATGCCGCGGTGGCTGCTGACGATAGCTTGATAACACTGAGACTATAACCCCTGTGCCACCAGGGAGGCCTGAAAGGTCACTTTTTTATTGATACATTATCTTTTTATTGAGGTGACTGATTTACATAACTGTATATGAGTGGGGGCATAGGTACACACCTCTTCAGATATATGTTATACCATACCTACCACTATAATCCAATCCTCCACCAGAGTCC